TTATGAAAAGCTGCACTTAACTTAAAATACCAAGCTCACAGCATGCCAGCGGGCCAACTATCATGATTAACAATGCCTGAAAAGTTATTGTTTCACCAGCACTTGATAGAACTGGACTAAAATGTAAACCGCCAAGTAGGCCTGCCACGATAACAACTTTTTGTTGTGCGATATATAGCCCCAGAAATAATTGCGATAAGCAATATTATTGTCATTTCAAAGAGCATTTTATGCCACTGAATATATCATCATAATTTAACAGCATAATAATGCAAGAAGGCCTACACACTTCCAAATGACAACAAACTTTTATTTTTTTAAGAATATTTAGATCATGGAAATTAAGTATCAAAATATTAGATACGTTAAAATAACTGAATAAATAGTAAATAAACATTTTCTAACAAAAAGTGCAATGTAACAAGTAGAAAAAAAAGAAAAATGCACGAAGAACTTGTATGGAGATTTTGCCATCTACAGATTTTTTTAATTTTCTCTGTAAATTAAGGGTGTGCACTCTATTGCTGAAAAACACAATCACTACTTAGCAGTCAGATGTTCGTATGCACAAAGGCACAGATCCCTAAACAAGACCATATCTGAGGCTGAAACTTTGTAGAAGCATTTTTTTAAACTTGAACTAGCACCTCATGACTACACCACATTATGTGCAATAAGCTGCAAAAGACACAGGTGCAAGTGGAATGTACAAAACATGGTGACATAAATTTTTAAGTAAATATAATGGGCGATATATTGAATAAGTCGATATATTGATTATTGCGACAGGCCTACCGCCAAGGCACTAAAAGACACACTTCAGCCAAAAATGAAAATGCTGTCATTATTTACTCACCCTCAAGTTGTTTTTAAAAAAAATCCTATTATATGCCCTTGGAAAATACGGCACAAATCATATGTAATCATTCATGCATAAAGCTTGAAGCTATTCATTGCCATTATATCAACGAGCAAGAACATAACATTTTTTAACATTTCTCCTTTTGTGGTCTAAAGAAGAAAGAAGCTCATGTAGCATTAGAACAACATGAAGGTGAGTAAATAATAACTGAATTTTCATTTTTGGGTGAACTATCCCTTTAAACTTCTCCATCCAACAAAACATTAATCACGGCTGTAGATCTTTTTACAACAGCTATTATGCAACCTGAATTTCTAAAACAATGTTTGGCTGTAATACTCTACAGAAATTAATGTTCAAAGATCAAAAACAGTCCACATGAGATCTGACAAACACTTCACCATTATTGCAGCCACTTGCTGGAATACTGATACATAATGACAATTCATGTCCTGGACACTTTTTAATCAAAGCATATAGCTTCGATGTTCCTCAAAAGTTCAGGTCTATGTTAGTGTTGGGTCTGAGTCCACCAAGTCCTTAACCAATTGAGCCTGAGTGCAAGACATTTACAATATTTCACAGAAGTGAGTACACCCCTCACATTTTTGTAAATATTATATCTTTTCATGTGACAACACTGAAGAAATGACACTTTGCTACAATGTAAAGTAGTGAGTGTACAGCTTGTATAACAGTGTAAATTTGCTGTCCCCTCAAAATAACT